TCTCAGAGAGAAAATGCAGTTTTAGATATGACTATGATCTTTACTATTTTAAGTATTTTCACTGTTGTGTGCATATTTGCAATTTTCTAGTATGTAGAAGTGTGGGGAGTAAAGGGAAGGATTTTTCATGGTTAGGGTTACCTCAATAAAACACATCTGTAATATGAAACATCTTGTACCACACTCTTGTTTTGGCTCATCTAATTCTTTATTTTAGAAGTATAAGGGGCATCTTGGAGTCAAGAGCCTCCATATTACAAAATTCTGCCTACACCCCTGAATAAGTTAAGGCATCACATAGATTTAATAGATGTCATTTCTAGAGTTTGGGTCTTCAGTTTTATATCATCTAGTCAAAAAAGGAAACATACAATTTCGTAGCCCTGCGTGGGATATCTTTGAAATCTTATCAGTCGCAGAATTAGGGCACTGCACCAACTTTGGCCACTGGTGGTTAGGATGGGGTATCTCTGAAAAGTTATCACTGGCAGAATCACTGCACGGACGTGAAATCGTATTATTGCAAGGAGATTGTCGCAAGAACTGCAGTTATGACTATATAAACAGACTAGCATTTAAAATTTTTTTCACAGCGTTTTATTCAAATCGTAAGCGTCGGACGTTTTGTACTCGGTCACAACTTACATGAAGAGATTTTTTCCCAGTTATCCAGTGTTTAATAGAGGAGTTTTGCAGCTGTTACACAGAACCCCATCGACGTGTCCGCGCGCAAGCCAAAACAGGAAACAATAATCACTCATGGACCACAAACCGCGCAAAATTGAGAATGATCTGCGACTTATTAGCCTTGAGACCAATCTCGCATATTACAAAGAAGACTTTGTCTTATCTGCACTCCACAAAGATAGAACAGATGACTAAGACGATGGTAATTTTTAAAAGAGGCGCCATTTTTCTTTGCTGCATTCGCTGCGATCCAATACCACCACAAACTTCCCTCCAGCGGCTCGCGCATACTCGCAACGTTACCAGTTGCTGTTCCTGATGGCCCTAGTTTATTGTTATTGGGGAGGAACGTTTTTTGACAAAGCTGATAATTAAAAACAGACATTTTTGAACAAATTTTGTTTTTTCTTACTAGCACTCCGATTTTGATCAAAATTGAAACAGGATGCAAATATTTCACCCTTTCTGAACCATTTGATGCTTAAATATTCGCGGGCACTCGAATGGGTCCCTCATATACCGAAAGTTGAAATCGTTAATCATCACACACAGCAATTCTAATAGATCAACTTGTGATTATTGGGAACAGAGGAACAGAGGGCACAGAGGAACAGTGAGCAGAGAGGAACAGTAGGCACAGAGGAACAGTAGGCACAGAGGAACAGAGGGCACAGAGGAACAGTCAGCACAGAGGAACAGTAGGCACAGAGGAAGAGTAGGAACAGAGGAACAGTGGGCACAGAGGAACAGTGGGCACAGAGGAACAGAGGGCACAGAGGAACAGTGAACACAGAGGAACAGTGAGCACAAAGGAACACTAGGCACAGAGGAAGAGTAGGAACAGAGGAACACTGGGCACAGAGGAACAGTGGGCACAGAGGAACAGAGGGCACAGAGGAACAGTGAACACAGAGGAACAGTGAGCACAAAGGAACACTAGGCACAGAGGAACAGTGGGCACAGAGGAACAGAGGGCACAGAGGAACAGTGAGCACAGAGGAACAGTACGCACAGAGGAAGAGTAGGAACAGAGGAACGGTAGGCACAGAGGAACAGTGGGCACAGAGGAACAGAGGGCACAGAGGAACAGTGAGCACAGAGGAACAGTAGGCACAGAGGAACAGTAGGCGCAAAGGAACAGTGGGCACAGAGGAACAGAGGGCACAGAGGAACAGAGGGCACAGAGGAACAGTGGGCACAGAGGAACAGTGAGCACAGAGGAACAGTAGGCACAGAGGAACAGAGGGCACAGAGGAACAGTGAGCACAGAGGAACAGTATTCTCAGAGGAACAGTAGGCACAAAGGAACAATGGGCACAGAGGAACAGAGGGCACAGAGGAACAGTGGGCACAGAGGAACAGTAGGAACATTGGGAACAGAGAAACATAATAATAACCTTTATTTTAAGATGGTGACACCAATTACTATGAAAAGTATTCTCCATAGTGGCCCTCTTAAAACAAAATTGATAATAATAAATTACAACAATCATGATAAAAAGCCTATTTACAAGTAGTAATTATAATAAAGATGTTAAGAATTCCAGTATTCTCCCTCTTTCAGGGTTGGCCATGGTTTTGGGGTATACAGTATATTGGGGTATTTAATTTCAGGTATCCAGTATTTTTATGGTTAAAATTGGGTATAAAGTATTCACTCACAACCAATTTTGGGTGTAAAGTATACCGTGTTTTTCTAAATTTTGGTATTTTACACCAGTTTTAGTAAATTTTTTGGTATTTTGGGAGGGTTTTTTTCCCCCTGGCCGACCCTGCTCTTTAGTGGCCCTCTAAAAACATAATTGATAATAAAATTACAACAATCATGATAAAAAGCCTATTTACAAATAGTGATTATAACAAAAGGTTCTTAAAAATTCTATGAAGATTTAAAAATTGAGAGATGTTAAAATCGGAAGTAAATACATTGGTAAAAAGGGAAATCCAATCTACAATGATATTTAAAAAAAGCACGGATTCTTAAAAATCAGAATAACTTTTTAACTTTAAAATTGTCCACCGTATAGTCTGAGGCTACGTTATTGGTCAGTGTTGTCTTCATTAAGCTAAAGGAGGTGGTTGGTTCTAAGTTAAGAGCATTTAGTTCTTTAATAGTCGAATAAAAGGATGTTCTCCTCATTGCTTCAGTTCTGGGGTTTCGGTAAGCGGTATAATGTTTTTGTTCTGGTAGAGTAGTTGTGCCCAAACCGAAGTGAGTCCAAGGTTGTAATTAAGTATTCCGGTGTCCTACCATCAATAACTTTCTTTAAAAGGCCGAGTTTATTGAGCTTGAATAGTTGATCAACCGGTAGCCAGGGGCACCCAACGTCAGTTTTCGGAAAAAATCTGTTCGGAAAACGATTTGAGACCTAGAATTTTCGGAACATTTGTTGTAAAATTTCTTCCTTGCCTATCTCTCCTAGCATTCCAGAACA